AATTGATCGACGTACAGCATTCTTCTTATAGGACTCTTGCCTGCACAATACTCTTCGTCCTCATTTGTTCTTTTCCTTTGCACTGTTTTTTTCTTTCATATTTCACCCGCTGTTTATTTTGTGACGTAAAATCATCGAATGACGGTCTCACACCGAGCAACCCCAATTATCTTAATCCTCTATTTATATGAATGGTAAGCCGGCTGATAGTTCAAATGAATAATGAACTAGAAAAACCGCTATAGCTTGTTGTAATTAATGCATCCAATGATTCTCCATCATAAAATCACCTCTTCTATCATCAGTCGGTATACTAAAATTTTAAGAATGATGGGTCATTATTGATCTGCGTGATTCACACATTACCGTCCATGATTTAAAATTCACTCACACCCATATCGACCCATCACGACTCATATCTCCACCCATCTTTTTAACCACTCGCTTTAGCATTCCAACTCGCTCAATAGTGTGGTTTCGATCCTATAAGTCTTTAGTGTACAGGAAGCATTATTATGAGCCAGAAATTTCAGAATATTCTACTTTGTCAAAATTTTATCACTTGATTGTCTGGTAAATACCAAGCCATAGGCTGGAATTTCAGAAATATGTCTATAAATCCGAAGGAATTTTTCATATCGCGCTAGGATCTACCTTTTGCACTGAGCTCCCATTCAAAAACGACTAATCACTTGAAAATCTTCCCTAGTGGTCCACTAAAATTTCCGCAGTTTTTTTTTGGATATTCCGACGGAATTATTACGACATTGGCGAAATTCCACACAACTTTGCTCTTAACTGAACTTTGTAGTGATTATAGAAGTGTACTGGTTAGAACGGAGAACAATAGTGTTCTCGAATATGTTGCAGATGAAATAAATCACATATAGTTGACACACTTCAATTGTACTTAAGATATTTGGATAAAACTTGGTTTACTCTAAATATTTCTTCAAACTAACCGTACAAGTGTCTGATGTCTATTCTGTATTTAATCAGGCCGAAATGGAAATCTTACAAAATTTCTTCGAGATATTTACAATCAAGCTAGGTAAGCAATATTTTTTGATGACAGACCACTTTGAGTTAATAGAGTATTTGAGATCCTCAAGGGTCGTTTAAATAATACTTCAATTTTTCACTGGTACTTTTGAATCAAGTCAATAAAACATGAGTTCAATTGATTGCCATCCTTGTGGACCAATGCAGACGTATCGACTATATACCAGCAGACAAAAGTTGCATTCGTCTGAACAATGTATGATCGTTTTGGACCTTACTGAACGAGATTTTCGATCAAGTCCTTCATTAAATTTTTATGTTCAACATTGGTTTATTGATATTGACAATTTTATTGATTTTATTCTTAATTCAGTCCATAATCAAATTACTCTCATCGTTTCTCCTCTTCTGGCTAATATCGTATACTATGTTATTCGTCCTATTTTTCCTCAAATTACTAGAATTATTATTGTTGGTAATTGTTTATGTTGTTGTGAATATGTTGAACACTTTAAAGATACCCAAGCACTTGTTGATAGTATTTATATTAATATTCAAGAACGACGACGTCTGTATATTACATTCGATTCATGGCCAATCGAACGATCGACTCTTGATTTAAATTTAGATACAGCCAGATTTCTTTGGTACAAATATTATTTCAATATTCTTTCACGTTTACAAAATACATCTATAGCACGATGTGAAATGTTAGAATCTGTACGAGCATTTCATAAGAAACAAATTGATACAGTTAAAAGAACATGTGAAGAATTTGAAAGAACGTATAATTCAAAAGATATTTTGCGATGGTATACACGAAATTCTTTTTGTTATCTTCTATTAAATCGAACACTACGTTCAGAAGATATTAATCATATTTTTGCTATGCGCTATATTATATATGATCTAGAAAATTGTTTTACACGAAATTACCATGAACAAACAGATGATCAGATTGATATTGTATATCGTGGTCAACAAATGCATCCAAGTGAAATTCAAAAAATAGATATGAATATTGGTGGCTTAATTGGTCTAACGGCTTTTTGGTCGACCACTCGCTCATTAGAAAAAGCATTCCATTTCACTGAAATATGGCCACGAAATCGATCCGATCCAGTCGAACGTGTTCTTTTTAAGATTCGAATTCCTCCTGATATCCAACAAGCTGTTTTTATGGATATATCAAAATTTAGTACAATTGAATGTGAATTAGAAGTTCTATTCTCTTTTCGTGCTCTATTTCGAGTTGAAGAAGTGGTGAAAAATGTACATAAGAACATTTGGTTTGTTGATTTGACTCTAATTGATGAGAATGATAATCAATTTTTATCGATTATGCAACCATGGTATTTAAATACACAAAACATTATCAGTCAACGGTCATTTTTTATATCGGATATTGAACTACCAAAGAAGGATTTCTTTCGTAATTCAACAGATCACAGTGCTCCTTTTCTTGCTTTTCAATTGCTTATCGATATGATGTTACGATTAGATCGAACTGAATTTGCTCGTGATGAACTTCTTGAAGTTTGTCGAGAAAGATATTCACATGATTCAATTGAATTACAACGAATTGACCATTTTGAACAAACATATGATGCAAAACATGCAATAAAATGGTACACAACAGATTGTTTCATCTATCGAATAATTAATGAATCATTAAGAAATGAAAGTATTGATCTAATTTTTAAATTACGATATTTTATAAATGATCTTCATAATGAACTTGCTCAAATGCAAAGTAATTTTCTTTCATTATTATCACCAAATTTATCTGTTTTAACATTATATCGTGGTTTAAAAATGGATTGGAATCAACTCGAAGAATTGAGAAGAAATAAAGGAAATCTCGTTTCAACAAATTCATTTTTATCGACAACAAGCGATTATGAAGCAGCTTGTTTCTTTGCTGGTGATGGAAGTGTAGATCAGGATGATGTTTCAGTCATATTTGAGATCTCTGTAAATACCAAAGTGAAACATTCAATACCGTTTGCTAAAATTGATTATAAAAGTATTTTTGAACATGAAGATGAAGTTCTATTTTCAATTGGTGCTGTTTTTCGTGTTGGTGAGACAGAAGAATTACGAAAACGTTTATGGAAAGTAGAATTGACATTAACACAAACAGAAGATGTACAATGGAACATACTCACAGCTCATTTAAATTCTAAATAAAATTCATTGAATCATTTTTCACGCATTGCTTTTTTTTGGGAAGTTGAACTAGTAAAAAATCATTCAACCATGTGACGACGATTCAATACAGAATTCTATTCGATATCTGTCAAGCCAAATGTTCCTATTTGGGGCTGTAGTTTTTTCTATTGATGCGACTTCGAAACGAAGATGATGATATAGTTAAATAAACACTCGGCTACGGACTCACACATTCATCCTCAATATGAAGTATTTACTGACGACAAGTACTATACATCAGACGGTCTGTTATTAGGTGACACTCTTCTTTGTATATATACATTCATAGTTTAAAACAATAAAAAAATTTGTATGTACGTGAGAAAATATTATTGCTTTCTAAGTAACACATGGTCACTGATGGACTACTTTCACAATGTTCAGTTTAATAGTCGAACAATGAAGCAAATTCTAGCTTACTCTTTCTTCAAATCAGTGAAATGATTGTGAAGCGAATGATTCTATTGAATGTGACTCACGAATGCCTAAGTAAATCGTGACAGTTTTTTTCCGATGGTTTAAACTTGTATCTTCCCAAATATGTGATCGCTCAAGTACGAGTTATAATCAGATCTCACTATTTCAAAATTTTCACTTTTGATAATCGTGAGTTTGTTTATAAGGTGTGAGTGTGTCTGGGCGTGTGGTTTTTTACTTCTACCACTTCCACACTCATACTCACGCCCTCAGTGAAATGTTGTTTTCAACATATGAGATTGCGAACAAAATTTTTGTTTGTTAACAAGAGAAGACAGACGATGAGACTGTGGATACCGATCAAGAATACAAGTGAGTAAAGAGGGCTTACACTGTATATATAGATGATGATTAAGATAAATATGTGACTGCTGCTTGAAGTGGTTCTTTTCTCCAACTCATATGGTATTAGTACACGGCATCACCAACATCTAGTCCAGTGTAATTGACATTAGACGCTTGCGAACCAGTATGAAAAAGACTTTTACATCCAAGCAAATAAAAAGATAATCAATGGACTGCTTAGTGTTCGCTAATAATTGAAGACGAGGCATATTAATGGAAAGTATACTTGTACTTTGTCATTTCATGAAAAATACTGTGCAAGAAATTTTATATTTGACATTATTATACCCTCTGCGAATGAAGTAGATTAAATCTCTAGTCAAAATGTTATCTATCGTGACACATTTAGAAGTGAAGCAAACTTCAATACTGTCAACATTTTTCTCCTTTTAAGGTGTCTCCGAGCATTGTGAAGGATTACCTATAAAAGGATATTTAATTTGTATGATGAACGAGACTTTCCCAGAATAATTTTGATATGGATGGGTCTAATTTTTGGTCATATGAGTTATTCGATAAAACAATGATTGTTTCTTGTTCGGTTCATTGTTTAAGAAATTATCCCATAGGAATTTTAAAAAATGATTCTACTACGAATTTAATTTGCCAGAAAAATACCATCTTCTAATTCTAGTCAAATCATAGGCTCATGTAGCGTTCTCTCCAATAATCTTTCATTTTCCATTTTCGTATCAGTCTCTTGATGAGCTCACCTTTGTTTCGAATCTTTTTTGGCAAGTTACAATCTATGTTTGAAATCGAAACAGTAGATGCTCAATATAGTGTGAATATGAGTTTGAGTTTCATACATCTTTTTACTGAGCCGCATAGCCATCAATATTTTTTATATAAAAACGGCATACACATGTCACTGCTAGTCGTTTATCTTCATCAACACGTTTCAGATCACAGATCAATCTTTTTATCAAAAAATCATTGCGACGGATTGAACAAAATGATGAGCGATTCATGTGATTCCAGAGCATATTGTCAAAAAAACTAAGACAGCAGAAATTCTCAATTGAAACTAGTTAACTCGAACGCCAAACTCTTTTTCTTCATTTCTACAAGCATCGAGATTTTTTGACTTTGAATGTGAAAACTAAATCTAAGACTAAGCTTTGAACACTGAAATTAACGGAAAAACTGCTTTATTGAGCACAGAACTCTTACTTTTAGATCGATCATATGTGAAAAAAATGTCGACGGAAGTCTCCGTTTATGAAGATAATCATGATAATACAATTTCTTTATCTTCAGAGACTTCCAACGCAATTGAGCACTTCTACTACCTTATTTCAACGTATATTAGACGTATAAATTATCTTTTAGAAGCTTTCGATTTTTATGTTTGTCTACTCATCATACACTGTAGTATAATTCATCAATAGATCGTATTACCATAAACTTATTAAAGTACGAGTTACATTTAAACAAAAATTTTGCCCATGATTAATATTCAAACTCAACTTGAATAACTGTGTTTCAGTCAAAAGATAAAACCTGAATGATGTACTCTCTAATGTATTCAATCAATACTTGATTGTGTTTTTTTTACTAAGATAAATTCAGATAACAACATTACATTTTTTTTTCTATATTTCAGTGATCATGATGACATAAATCTGTGCTTTTTTTATTGTACCAATTGCTTAAGTTACATACAAGAAGAAATATATTTATATATATATAAGACAAGAAAATGACGATTCTTCATGCTGTTATATGCGCATATACAGAGATTTCAGAACCGGGAATGAGAAAAAAAAAAGAACGAAAGATGTAATAGATAAAAGAGCAAGAGACTCTATCAGAGAACCAAAAAAAAAAAAAAGTCATATTATCACAGTTAACATTAAGAAAAACAGAAAATATTTGCCTAAAAATGATTCACGAAAGATTACACGATACATGAAAAATATTTATTTAAGCTACATAAACATATTCTGATATATTTGTTTCTGATCTAGCCATATATCGATGATCAATTAACCATTCAATCATTTCTTTAATTAATTTTTTTGATGGTACAAACATATTTTTAAGTATTTCAATTAATTCTGTTTGTAATTGAGCATTATTCATACGTTGTCGTGTTTTCATTATTTTAACAATAGCTTCTTTTGTACGTTCACCACGTAAAAACATAATTTCTTCATTTTCTTCTTCACGTCCTTTTTCTGTATTTAATTGAAGACGTTGTATCATATTAATATGACCACGTGTTTGTATTTTACCAGCACGTATTATTGTAAAATCATAATTTATCCAAAATAAACTCATTTCATTAAGATCTTGATATGATTCAACATGTGGTTCATAATATATTAATTGTTGTTTTAATTTTGCAAATGATATTAATGACCATAGAGTTTTTTTTAATTCAATTTCTGGTATATTTGTTGCTAATTTAAGTTCACTAAATGTTAATTTATTTGTTGGTCGATGATTCCATGAAAAAAGTACTGATGCTTGTAATGTTGATACATCTAAATCGTATTTACCATTTTTCGAAGTAAATGTTAACTAAAAAAAAAAAAAAAAAACAATTTTTTTTTTTTTCATAGCGAATTTTAAGTTTTTATTCATTACCTGTCCATTTGATACTGTATGATACCAAGTTAATTTTCTTCCTGAATGTTTTTTCTTATAAAATTCTTCAATTTCTGGTAGAACATCTTCAATCTGTGCTGGTAATGATACATCAATCTTATCACCTGGATGTGGCCATGCTGCAGCACTTAAAATTTTAAATGAGAATGAATCTAAATAAAATTAAAGAATAATTTAAGATACAAAATTGATTATATATATTTACCCATCATTGTATTATTATTACGTGATGATGGACATACAGTTCGAAATTCTTCATTCATATCACGATTTAATTTAAGATCTTTAAACATTTGTTGTAATTTAATAATAAATTCAGCTGGCATACCAACATCCTATAGAAAAAAAAAATATTAAAAATCTAAGTCATGTTATCTAGTTTAAATTGTTATGATTATGAATATGTATTTAATGAAATGTAAAAGATAGATAATACTTCTTCAAATGAAAAAGCCTATATATTTTTAGCTGCCTACGATTAGTTTCCTAAAGATAAAAAAATGACATCAAAATGGTTTGTCATATTTATATAACTATTTTTCTTTGTTATACTGATTGCTCAAATAGAATTCAAATGGTAAAAAACGGAATATTTTTGATTTTTTTTTCCTTTACGATATAACAACTAGAATAAATCAGACAAAAGATTTGATTATCTAAAATAATTTCCGATGAAGTGTGGTTATTGTTTAAGTCTTATTAACAAGTTTAGATAAAGTGTTTCTGAAAAATTAAGATTAATAACAGAAACTTTTTAGATTCTATCAAAAAACATTTTACAAACAAGTTTATCTAATAGAATGTTTCTTAAGATTGCCAGAGTCTAATTTCAATAATTACTTTCGTAGAATGAATACAATTCGCTGGAGAAGTCAGGAGTGTTTTATTTTGCTTAGAAATGTTTTTAATAGAATCTAGAGAACTGAGTGTTTATAAGTTTTCGGTTTCTAGAGACTTTTTATTCATAGCTCTTGATGAGAATTTGATAAATATTTCTTCTGATGGGAAATTCTTTCAACTATACAAATTTTTTTTTGTCTGATTTGTTTTAGCTATTATCATTAAAGAAAAATACGACATTATTAAACTTTTTGTTACTGCTTAACTTTATTGAAATTTTTCTCATATACTTTTATAAAAACCTAACTTTTGGTTTAGATAGTATTTTAAATCTTGCATCACAATCATTTTTGTAGATGCTTCTAACAAAATTTTAGTGTCTATGGTTCATAAGATAAGTATTCTTCAAAGATTCCTTATCAAATGTGGAAAAACAAAAAGTTGTACGACATTGCTTGTTTAATAATACATTAATCTAATTTTCGTGTTATAACATATAGAATTTGATTTTCTACTAACTTCTAATGAAACAAAAAATATTTCTAAACTGTATTTTATAAGTCAATGAATGACACGTACTTCTCACATAATTTTTAGTTAATACTTAAAAAAGATCAATTAATCATGTATAATACGATGGTTTTCTTTTTGATAAATTATCAGGATATATTTTGGAAAAGTTGATTTCTTTTCTATTCAATTAC